TCATCGATGTTTCTCTTTCTTTCTCTCTCTCTCTCTCTCTCTCTCTCCTTTCCTCTCTCTGGAATCAATAAAGATATATTTTTTTAAAAAAAAATTTTTTTTTAAATAAAAATAAACCTAATGCAAGCAGAAAGAACAACAACGAATCAGAGCAGAAATAAAAAAAAATAGAAAGTATAAAAGCAGAGAGAACAATGACAACAAAAGTTGAATCTTAAAAAAGATCAACAAAATTGGCAAACCTTTGCTAGAATGACAAAGGAAAAAAGAGAATACACAAGTTACCAAAATCAGGAATGAATGAGGAACATCACTACACCTCATTTCTTCCCTCAGAAGAATTATAAGGAAATATTAACAACTTCGTGACAACAGATTAGGCAATTTGGATGAAATGCACATATTTCTAAAAGATACAACATACTGAAGCAGACTCAAAATAAACAGAAACTCTGGATAAACATATAACAAACAGAGAAATCAAATTCCTACTTTAAAATCTTTCTACAAACAAAAGCCCAGGACAATGAAGAGCCAAAACAATTTGGAAAAATTAACGCTGGAGACCTTACACCACCTCATTTCACAACTTACAACGAAGTAGTAAGATGGTAGAACTGATATAAGGATAAATGTATAGGTCAATGCAGTAAGAATGTCCTCAAAACACACTTTTACATTTATGGTTAATTAGGTTTTGGCAAAGGTACAATGACAGCTCAATGGGGAAAGAATAGTCTTTTCAACAAATTCTGCTAGAACAAATGGATACCTACATACAAAATAGTAAATTAAGGCCCTTACCTTACACCACACATAAAAATTACTCAAAGTGGATCTAAATTTAAAGCTGAAAACTTAATATTTTTAAAAGAAAACATAAGAAGTAAGATCTGTGACCTTTGATTTTGGCAAAGAATTTTTAGATATAACACTACAAGCACTATCCATAAAAGAAAATACAAACACAATGAAATACCACTATACAGCCACAAGAACGACTATCATATAAGAAACTTACAGTACTAAATATCAGTAAGAATATGAAAAAACTGGAATGCTCATACACTGTTGCTGAGGATGTAAACTGTTATGCTCACTTTGGAAAAAGTTGGCAGTGTCTTGGAGTTCAACTTACCATACAATCCAGCAGTTTCACTTCTTGTAACCCACACCCAGGATAAACAAAAGCATACATCCACCCAATGACTTGCCAGTGTCATTTTTCATAATAGCAAAAAAATTGGAAACAATCTAAATGCTCATAAAGAAGTTATCTCATGCCATATAATGATAGTTTTGTTTTCTCTGAACTTGGGAAACATTCTTAACTGAGTCTTTACTTTTATAATCTATTAAAAAACAACAAAGTTTTTCTTGTGAAAATTTCTGATAAAGGGATTTAATAGCTCACTAACTCCCTGTGAAGACCCTCTACCTATGGATTGTATTTCTAATTCAAAGTTTAAGAGTCCAACCTGCCAATTAAATTATTAGGAAATTAGTCCATACCTGTCCCTAACTTCTGAATTATGTGGGATGGAATAGGGCACTGACGACTCTCACGGCTACAGTGCTTCCCAGATGAATACCGACGGATTATTAATCTTATTGTATGTGGCTTCCTTCCATCTTGGCATACTCTAAAAATAATGAGAAAAGGGAAACAAGCAATTTGAAAAAATATTACCTAAAGATTTTAAAAAGTGTCTAATCCACAATCTATCTAAGGGTGTCAGATTTAGTAACTATAACAATTATAAACACAGTTGATAACTAGGCAGTAAGCAATAAAGGTCCCTGAAGAGCCCAAATAAATTTTGTAGTCTACATAACAAAGCTCTAAAATTTTAAGTGCAAGGCTCTCAGGCCTCACTCAAAATTGAGTGCTATCAGAAAAAGAACAGAAATAAGACATAATTATAACAAGCCATTTTATAATCCAAGTCCAAAAAATAAAAGCAAAATATTAAAATCAGCAGAAAATTAAAGAAACAGAGAATCATTCACTGACAGAAGCAAATATATGAAGTGACAAATTTTTTACACATATTTTAAAAATACAAGATTACAAAAGAAAAAAAATTAATATGATTATTTTTGTCAAAGAGCACTCCTCCCCAAGAGACCCAAGAGAGCCAGGAGTAATACCACCACTACGTGGCGTATTACAGCAATAACTTGAAAGACCAATTATATACTATACTTAGGAAGATAAGTATATTTACATGTATTTTAAAAAGTGTTCCAAGAACCCTGGCTGGGTAGCTCAGCTGGTTACAGTGCCAAGGTTGCAGGTTTAATCCCTGGTCAGGGCACATACAATAATCAACCAATGAGTACATAAATAAGTGGAACGACATTTCAATGTTTCTTTTTCCCTTTCTCTCTCTCAAATCAACAAGTAAAAAATTTTTTTTAAAAAGTGTTCCATTCAAATGGTCTTGGTTTTGGGGTTAAAAACAAAGTTTTAATGATATAGAAAATTCACTTAAAAAGCAGAAAATCTAATTAGAAAAAAAACAGGTCATTAAAGAATAGCATTTTCCTTTTTATATGTACGGCAATGCATTTAAAATCACAAATACAAAATACAAATACTGTACACTTAAACATACTCAAATTGAAAATTTTGAATTAGAAAATTTAGATTTTTATAGTAAATAATTTTTTCTTTTACTGCTTTATCACAAAATTTCTTGATTGCTGCTTCACTAAAGTAATAAATATCTTAAATAGTTCCTGTAAACCTGTTACTAGATTAAGTATCTTCCAGTTAAACTTATTTAAGTCATTATGCAATTCAAAGACAATGATGTGGCTCCTATAATTAATTAAAACATACTAGAAAAAGTTTATATTCTAAGCAATCTTAAACTATTGCCCAGATATTGGATTAAAAGTTAGATGATTTTATACTTCTTACATACCTAGAGTGTCGTCATATTCTCTAGAATGAAAATACATTCACACACGATTATTTTTTGCTGGTCGCTTAAACAGTATTACACCTCAACCACTGAAATAAAGGACCGTGGCACAGGAAAGGCAATGGCAAGCAGAGATGAGGACAGTGGTTAATAGTTGGTACTCCACAGGTTTAGAGCACCTATTCTCACTTCTGGGTTGATTCTTAAAGAAGAAAACCTATAAAGTTTATAATTCTTGTCATTTTCCTATGGGCGGAACTATTACCAATGACAAGGCTTTTCATATTAGACTTATATTTAGTTGCTACAAAGCAGATGTCTGTTTCACAAGCACTTTCACAGCCCAGCCTGAGTCATATCACTGGAGCTGGGTCATACAGTTGGCCTCAGTTGCATGCAGCAAATGAAGAGCTGCATGGCTTTGCTCAGGACAGGAGAATCACACTGCATGTAACAATAAAGTTGTAGGAAATTTCACTTCATCAGTTTCTGATACTTCAAGTCATCCAAAAACCTTTTTCTCTAGTCAGCTAGCCACTCAGGCATCATTACAGAAACACACCTATCCAAAACTGTTAGATCCCAGACATCATTTTGAGAAATCAAAGAAATGAGAAGAAAAGAGATAATACTCTTACGGAGCATTGAAAATAAATATATGATGGCAAAGGAGCATCAGAAACATGTCTTGTTCCATTTATGCCATGCTATTTGTATAGTCATAATCCCAACAGACACTGCTCATGTACTTACAGACCAGTTAGCCTGCACATACCCATAATCACTCTCACTGTTCACAAATAGCCCCATTTAGCTATTCTTTTGTCTGACTCAATTTTCTTGAACATAGTCTATGGCAAAGGAGATTTAATGGTTCTTCTGCTTTCTCCATCTTTGTTGCTCTTAGTAACTACCTATCCTCAACCATTATAAATTTATAGGTGTAAGGATTCTAGAGATATTCATAAAACCCCCTTAGGTAACTATCAGCAACTTAACATCCATAATATAACCACAATGTTACTAAAAACCAATGGAACTAGATGGATTAAATTTAGTTAAGAGCATCTGTTACTACCTTTGCAATAGTTTATAAAGAAATTTAGTAATAAATGATCTACAATTACACTGTTTAGACTCCAGTTAACCTGTAGGTTCCAAGACAAAACATTTAGTATTCTTTCCATATGCTATGTACAGAATATATAGGATATGGCAAACAGAAAATCACCTGTTCAAAAGACTAGAAAGTAATTCTTCGATCTTACTTTTAGCTTCAACTTCTGATGAACATTTTCTAAGTGACTCTTCTTCACTGAAGGACTACCAAAGAAGCACAAATAAGAATTACTGTAAACCCAAATAAGCATATCCAATTATCAGTGTATATGTCAAGTAAATCAACACATTCTTGACTAACTTACCTCTTGTGCTTAGTATGAGTCATTTAGTTCACTTTTATACTAACTCTTTTTATCTACAAGTTACTGGACTCCACTAGAAAGTGCACTAGATGTCAAGAAAATTATAAAGCTCTAGCAGCAACTCCAAGCTTTACTGTATAATTACAGCTAGGCTCTTAATCTCCTAAGACTTGAATTTGATCTTGGGTAAGTTATTTAAACTTTCAAAAGTACAGTATCCTCACCTTAAAAAAACAATGAGGGAAGGGGACAGAGGAAAACGTACAAACAATAGAACCTACCTCAAAGGTTTGTGAAAATTAAAGGGGCTAATGTATATAAAGTACTTAGTAAAGTGCTTGTCACATAAAAAAATAATCGATGTGAACTGGGCAATTATACTTTTCTCCATTTCCTAAATCATTAAACTACTCTAAAACTAAAACTTTTTAAAAAATTAAAATATTTTGACTCATATATGTAATATAGGCTATGGCTAACTTGAGATTTAAATACTAATTCTTAGATTCAATTTAAGAATACTTTTAATCTATTATAATAAATTAGCCTCCTCATAGGAAAGGGATCATATACTAACCTAACAAGCAAACTAGAATAATAAAAACAGCAATAAACTAGAAATCTTTATCTCAATTACTGTGACAACCACTATTCAAGTAAAATCATTATCATGCACCTGAGGTGGTCCTGAGGGTGTTACAGGAGAGTTATCCTCTCCAAAACTGAGCTGCTGGATACGCTGAGCAACTGAAAGTCCTAATTCCTTTTCTAATATTTTGGATGAAAAGGTTTGAAGATCATGCACACTACTGATACCCAGAGCTTCAAGGCGTTTGGTAGTTTTATAGCCAATACCTAAACAAAAAGAAAGGCATAATGTGTTACAATAGCTTTTCTCCTTAAAATAAAGCTAATTAAAATATTATAACTACTATATCAACCATATCTTTAAATTCCATAATTAATATTTTGCTAAGATCAAACTTTATTAAAAATTATATTTTTCTTCGCAGATTGTTCTGCTCAAAGCCTGTGAGTTACATGAACCACTTTGAAAACCTAACAGCCCTAATGTACCTAATAAAATATAATGAATACAAAGACAACCGATAAATTCGGTCTTGATAAAACGAAATGTTTACCTGTTATACACCACTGTGGAAGTACTCAAGAATCACGGTGATAATTCATGTAAAGAACAACTGTCACTAGGCAATTAAAATTAATTAGCATGCACTTATTAGCTAACATAACTGATTTCTATACACAACATGACACATATCTGGCAATATTTACCATCTGAATACAACTAAGAGCCAGAAAACAAACCAAAAAAAAAGTACTCTCATTAGCAAAACTCGTATCATAAAGTTTTGTGCAGGAAAACTCAGTCATATTTTATCACAGGAAAAATGCTCAATTTAGGGCCTCTTTACTCCTCTCACTTTTAAAAAATTAATTCTACAGTTATCTGGTTTCCTTGAAGAGTAAAAGAAATAAATCAAAGGCGATGGGTGTGTAGGGGAAATTATTAAAGTAGAATGACAGATATTTTCACAGCTGTAATAAGAGGGTTGGCAAGCTGGCAATAAGGAAGGAAAGAGAAAGCCTGTAAAAAAAAACCACCACAACAACAAATACAGTAATTCAAAAAGTAATGCCAAGTAATGGTGTTAAATATCAGTATACAGTCCTCAACGTATTACAACCTGACACAGTAATTGTTCCTCAGAACACAGACTCAGGTCATTCAAAAGGTTACAACTGTATTACTTAAGGAAGGCAGGGCAGTGTGTAACACATTTGGGCATCACATAACCATGGGTTAAAAATGTGAAGTTATGACATCTAAAGGTTAAGTTTCAGTTGTCTTAGAAATTCACTTCCATAGAATTCTATTATAACATCTTTATCCCCAACAATGCCATAGAAATGAAGTTTAACATATCCATTATTGATAGTCTATAAAAGCATAAGTATTTGATCTTCAATGATACAAACATGCCTCATGACCTGAACAGCACACTGAACCCTTCAAGAAAATCAGTTTCCTCATCTTTAAAATAAAAACTAAGCCTAAATGCTTTGAAAGGTCCTGTGTAGCCCTAACATTTTATATATAATCCCCAAAATAGAGTTAGTAAAAGACCAACTCACCTCTTTAGATTCAATATACAGTATAAGAGTATGAACCAGGGATTGGAAATAAAGGACTATATGCTTCCAGGTTATAACTTTCATCATCATATTCAAACTACACAAAAGTAGATGAAACTAGAGAAAAGTACTTTTATATATTTCCTCATACAGATTTACCTCCAGAAAACATTAGGTTGTTTAGTTTTCTCCAAATGCCAAGTACATAGGCTCTAAGAATAATTACATGTATCTATATAATTTTTTAAATTAAAGAAATACAATATATACTTTTCAAATATATTTGTCTTACCAGGCATTTCCTTTATGTGTTTCAAACTATGAATGAGATCTTGAGAACTTTCAGGTAATAAGACTGTTTGTTGATTTGGTTTAAAGATGCCAGAAACTAATTTTGCCAGTAGTTTATTGGAAGCCACTCCAGCACAGCCAGTGAGACCCAGCTGATTGTACATGGCTTCCCGCATCTCTGCTGCAATCTGAGATCCCACAAGCAGTCTGATGTGCAAGACATCATGCAGGTTTATAGCTATAAAAACAGCCAATGTCATTAAAAGTCACCACAAAAAAACTTAATTTCCTTTTTTACAAATAAGTTTTAAAAGAGTAACTGAGTTTATTTATTTAACCTATATTCAACGCCCCCACCACCACCATCATACTGCCAACCCACTTAACTAATCTGTTTCGTTCTTCACCGGAATTTTGTAAAGTAAATAACTAAGGGGAGTGAACTCCAAGGGACTGTGAGAGAGAATGCACAGGAGTGCTTAATGATGAATAGATTATGAAAATTGACCTCTCATAAAAAATTCCTACTGACATTGGTAAAATTTTTATTCATGTTTACCTGTAAGCATAAAAGTATCTTATTACATTAATAAGAAAGCAAACATTACAGTTTTAACTATCTGAATCTAAACTTAACACACTAGCTATACGAAAATTTTAGATCTGTCCATATTTAAGAGATCCTTTATGAAAAGTGTAGGGAAATTATCTACAAACAAATTTTCTTAGGTGTGAAAATGGCATTACAGTTATATGAGACAATCCTTATCCTCAGGAGTATTTAAAAATGAAGTATCATATCTGCAATTTACTTTCAAATGGCTCATCAATCATGTCAACCAATCATTAAAGAGCAAGATAAAGCAAATGTGGAAAAATGGTAGCAACAGATATATTGACAAGGAGAGTATAATGAGTGTTCTCACTGTATTATATTTTGTCAATTTTTCTGTATGTTTAAAAATTTTTTAACATAATCTTGTGGGGAGGAGGAAGACTTCATGAAGAATTAGACATTTTCTTTTTAAGATATAAAACCTAGCTCTCTGTACTATGTTCTATCCAAAGTCTGAGTTTGCTTTAAAAATTACATAGAAATATATCTGCAATCTTCTTGCTACTTAGTCTTTGTGACAAGAGACCACAGATACAAAAGACAGGGAAAGCTTCATGTCTTCTTCTAGAAGAGAATTTTAGGTCCCCCCTCCCTTTTCTTTAATAAGGGAGATGGAGAACTAGATGGGAGAGTGATCATCAGCTCTCAAAAAAGAGGGATAAGAGGAAGCACGTGCTGAGACCCAGGAGCAGGATGGTCAGGGCCAAGTCTTTTTTTTCTTTTTTTAATATATTTTTATTGATTTCAGAGAGAGGACAGGAGAGGGAGAGAGAGAGATAGAAACATCAATGACGAGAGAGTCATTGATTGAGCCCGCAACCTGGCCATGTGCCCTGACCAGGAATCGAACCCCGATCGCCTGGATCCTAGGTTGAAGCCACGCCCGGCCGGGCAGGGCCAAGTCTTACACAAAAGCAGAGTAGCCTGTTCTCTATGTGGTATGATGTGGAAGTCACCAGTAGTCACAAGATGTTTCAAAGTCTAATTGCAAAGTCACTAGAGCTTATTGCAGCTTATTTTCAAATGCAAATATCCCTGGAAATACCACCAGTCATTTAAACTTTAATATGAGAAGGAGATGAACCATTCTGCTTTCATGCTAAGAGATGGCGAAGATTATCTGAACTAATTAACTAGGAGCTTACAAAAGATGGAAGGTGGGCCTGGGCAAGCTTCCACAAGGGTTAACTGGGGAAGTCAGGGGGCAACAGGAGGGTCTTGGTGCCTTGGGGGAATAGAAGCAAGAGGCAACAAAGTTAAATTTAGTCTACCTCAAAAGGTTGCTTAAAGATAGTTTTAAGAGAATCAAAAATTATTCTAAAAAGCATATTATCAAGCCAACTCCTCTAAATTAAGGATGACTTAAGAGAGGTATGACACTTAAATAATATTGGACAGACTGTGTCAGAGAAATGAAAAGTGCACAGAGCATTGAGCTACATAAGCAACACCTAATTTTAGTCATCTTAGATTATTAAATTTGGCTATACCTCCTACAAAAGCCATAACATTTTTAGAAAGTCAATTAATTCACTGAACTCACAGAATATTAAGCTAAAGAATGTATAGGCATAATCCATAGACACAGACGACAGTACAGTGGTGATGGGCGAAGGGGGGGCTTAGGTGCAGGAAGGCAAGGGGGGGGTAATGGGGACATCTGTAACAGTATCAACAATAAAAAATAAATAAAAAGTAAAAAAACAGAAGGTATTCCAGAAAAGAAATAAGAAAAAAGAAATGTATGTACTTTAAAATACTTAATAGATAAGAAACCACTTACACTGATTATTGTACACATGACCAAACACAGTCAGTGCTGAAAGTTCATCACTCTGAAGCTGCTGTAGTCTCTTCTCAACCACTTCTGTTAGATCCACAAAATTTTCATCAAATCCAAGTCTCTCGACAACTGGACTAAATTCCTCCAATAACTCTAAATTTAAATAATATTGGAGCACAGATGTAACTGAGGTTATAACTAGAATAAATTGAACTATTTTATGCTTACCTCAAATATGTTGTTAAAGGTTTTACATATATTCACAGTTCCACAATACATTTAATAAAGTCCTCAGTTAACTGGGATTTTTTCCCCTGCATCACATTTTGAGTGAAGACAACATTTTTCCAACAAAATAAATCCAAAAATGATATTCCCTGGGCAGATACTCATAGCAGTAGATTTAGCTCAATCTCCTATACTTACAATTTCTGTATTTGTAGTACATTAAATATCAATGCTTATAGTTAATTATGATCTTGAAGCAGTAGGTCAAAGAATAAATTATAGTCTGCCTAGAAAAGTAAAAACAAGTAATAATGTATTCTAGCTATATTTTCCACAGGAGTTTTTAAAGGCAAAACAAAACAAAATTTATAATTTCCAATTGTTACTGAGCCAAAAAGAAAACTTAATTTTCAAAATATACAATTCAATGTTTTAATTAGTCATTTCCCCAGCTTATTCCTCAACGGCAGAGATGGACCATAATTTACATGAATTTCAATGTCCGGCATCTAGCACAAAACCTAGTCCTTAAGTAAAATGTTCACTAAATTTAACTGAACCAAGATTTGATATCAATTCAACAGGACCATCAACTCTCATTTTTAGGATTAATACTAATAACTTTGAAATCACTGAAAAATTTCATTTCTCTCTGTATTACCTATTGATACCAGATGGATGGCAGAAAACATTTACTATTTTTTTCACACGAGGTAAATCTTTACCATTTGAGAATAGCTAACACTCTCATACATACTAGCAATATGTTGGGAACAAAATCAAGTGCAACATATAGCAGTATTCAAAATTTTAAATGCAAATTACCTCTGATCTAGCAATTAACCTCTTTCTTACCTTATGGATATCCCCCAAAAAGTATGCCAACATTTCCATATGAAAATGTCTACTGAAGCATATATTAGTAAGAGCAAAAAGTTGCTAACAGCCTAATAATCCATTACTATCAGGGAAACCATAAAATTTATCATTCAAAACAAGACCTTTTTTTTAAATAAAACGAGCTGCTATTTAAAAATATGCAGGGGCATTAGGCATAAAGTGGGACATACTGTATTCATACCACTCTAGAGGACTGGTTAAATAAGTATGAAACAAAACGCAATGGAATACTGCAGGCATTAAAAACAATGAGGAGCTATATGAATGACAAGAACAAAGGCAAGATGCACAATTCTATGTATCATGTAATTTCTTCTGTGTACACTAAAAATCAACTTAATATCAGACACACACAATTTTGCATAGATGCACAAGTGCTATTTTGAGAGTGTAGTATTGTACCGCCTCTTCCCCTACAGAAGGTAACTAGTATTAAAAACTTAGTATATATCCTCTCATGTGTCTATTCTTGTCCATGTACACACATATACATATATATGAGGGAGGGTTTGTGCTATTGTTTTATACAAATGGAAAAATGTGTTACATTTTTTTGCATCTTAGCTCTTGCTCACTCAACAACTAACAATGTATATATTTGAGTTCTCATCCTGATGACCATTTGTTTTCATTCCATGCTTACCAATCATGAATCATGATGCAATATACATTTTTGTAAGCATGTCCATACAATTTCTTAAATTCCCAGAAGCTGTATCACTGGGTTAAAGAATATAATATGTAACTTTAACTTCAAAAAAAGTTTCTACATTGCTTTTTCAAAAAGGCTGTAATACTTTGTTTCTACTTTTTCTCACATTATTTTTTGCAAGTCTGATGGATATAAAATAGTATCTTACTAATTCAAATTTCCTTAGCCAATAATGAATTTAAGTTTCTTTTTTTCAAGATAATTATTGGACCTTGTGTTTGCCCTTTTTGTCAACTGCCTATTAATATTCTTTGTCCATTTTTCTTGAGTATTTTTTTCCTGTTAATTTGTTACCACTTTTGGTTATTATACTTAACCCTTTCACCTGAAAACTGCTACAAATAACCCAACTAACATCAATGCATTAGCCTATAGTATATTTCTTCATAATTCATTTAAATTAAAAATTAAAAATATTTGGCTTTCTTTAGTATATCTTCCCATTTTCTCACTGTTAAATTTTGTTTTACATTTTTTCCTATATTTACATGACACCGGTCATGACAGACTTCAAACTCCTTCTAACTTTACATTTTTTGTCAATATTACTTATATAGTCATCCTCATAAATATTTTAAAAAGTGGGTAAGACCCAAAATAAAGTTATTAGCAAAAAGGAACTGACTTATGGCATTTTACATTTATTTAAAAATTCATGTAATGAATAGGCATCCTATATAAAAAGTAATGCTAAAATAACGTTGCCTATAATCTGTACCTGTAACCTTATATGACATCTCTCTGTAACGATCAAGTCTTCTCCATTAACTAACACCAGCTGTGGACACTTTTCTTTTGCATCTCTAACATTCATAAGTTTCTTTACTCCAAATTCCCTAGCTTCATAGTTGCAGGTAACCACCAAATACTTCTGTTGAACGCCTATAAGAAATAAATATTTTATGAGAAAACTGAGAATTAAAGAAACATCTTAAAAATTTACTAATTCCATCTTATAACTGTAAGTTGTAATTCAATCTGTTTTGATAAAAATAAAACGCTAGCCCGACTGGTGTAGCTCAGTGGTTGAGTGTCGGCCCATGTACCAGGAGGTACTGGTTTGATTTCTGGTTAGGACACATGCCCAGGTTGTAGGCTCAATCCCCAGTAGGAGGCATGCAGGAGGCAGCTGATAGATGTTTCTATCACTTTATTCCTTTCCCTCTCTAAAAAATCAGTAAAAACATATTTTAAAAAAATAATAAAAATAAAAAGCTTTATCTCAGTTAAAAAATATAACATCCATTCATCAAAGTTCCATAAGTAAAATTTAACAGAAATTACCACAAATCAATATATTCTATGAAGTCTTCACCAAAAAGACACATATAAAATTGTTCTGGAATTCCTTTTCAGACAATACAAAACCAGAATAATCTATACTGAATTAACTCTATACAATTCTATATATAACTCCAGACCATGTTTTACCAAAAAATAAAGCAGATAAAAAGTAATTGAGTACAATTACTGGTTACTGCTAGAAAAACTCACGGATCTTCTGAGTAACTGTCCAATGAATATAAAGCAATGCTCTGTTACAAGTGCCAACCTATAGCAATTTTCAGGGATCTCTCCCAATAAATGTTCTAATTATTAAACTACTATTTCTAGAAATCTGCAGAAAAGATTAAACAGTGAGGAGGCATACTGAGCGCCCTCCTTGTCAAATGATTAAATTATGATCTACAGAATGTATAAAAATTCTAGTTGACTGGTGGCTTAAGATAGCTAAAATTTGCTATTCTCTTTAAGCAAGTTGACTAGTTTACCACTATAAAAGCAATGTTCACCTAAAACATGTAAACACAAACATGTAGAAGAAAAAAAGGTTATATTCATTCCCATAATGTAAGACATGTTTCTAAAACTTTAATATAAATAAGGCAAAGAAAGATTATTTCACATAAAGATTTTTGACATATCAGATTATGCCCCAAAATAGAATCACTGGGTCAAAAATAGTAAGATTCATTAGTGAACTACATACAAATTTAGATTGACAAATTTAGATTGGTAAATTTTTAAATGCAGAATTAAATAATATGGAATCACTACTATGTCACCAGCCCGAGTTATGTAGTCATATATTTGAGTATAAATAAAAAACTATTTTGCTTTCTCCTAGAAACTTTCAGCAACACACTTCTCACTTCCCAACTATCATTTATTCCTGTCTTAAATACTCAATGTCTTTTTATTAAGCATTATCTACAGAGCACCTTGTGTTACAATGCTACCAATTGAAATGCCTTCAGGAGAAAACTTAGGTCCCCTAATCCTAACTCCTTGACACCCTCAGGAAAGTTTAAAGATTCTACACCAACCTTGGCAGACCAAAAACTTAGTTCTTCAGTAAATCAACTAGGCTGGGTTGAATTAGGATTTATCAAAACCAAACTAAGCACAAGAGGGTAGCAGCAAGTGAACCAAAACTGCTCTTTATGCTTATACTAAAAGGTAAATCCTTACTACATTTATAAAAGAAATTTGGGTGAATTTACTTTTTCCGATTTAAGATATAACAAAAATGTTAAAATGAGCTAACATGTTAAAAGAGAATCCTCAAAGTAAAACTTCTTTTCACCTTGTATTTAAAAAGATATTTGTGTTTTTATGGAAAGTATGCTATATATGCCTTAGTATTTACGATTCTGTTCAAACTATTTTGTCAGACGTTACACAAATCAAGAGTTGATTTCAAAAAGGGGAGGACAGATGAAAACTTCTATTAAAATGTAATAAAAAGAGGATGTTTTGAGATAAGAGGATTGTAAAATTTCAAACATGGAGAAAAAACGAAAAGTTTATTATGGGCTTTCTGTTCATCTATTCAGTTGTTTACACTACTTGTGTCAAATTCATCATTTATTAAATGAGGCTTATAAAGTTTACACCTGGTAGTGAAGCAAATATTCTGTCTATAAAGCACGTTAAGAAACGGCTTCCAAAACCTTTCTTAATGGTTAACACATCAGAACACAATAAACATAATAAACGAGTGCTAATCCTACCATACAACAAAAACACCATCAACGTTCAAAATTACCTAAAGGTTTGCCCTTCAGTTCCGGATTTGAGATCATTTCTACTTGTGCATAAAAGCAATCCAGATCCACGTGTACTATGACTCTGGATGAAGAGCTTCCTGCTGGCACCACCTGATCATGAACTGGTGCACAATATGCAAAGAAATACAAAAATATATTCAGGCTGCTTATCATCTCTGAGCAACTGCCAGTTCCTTAAAACATGGTAACTGAGAAAAAGAGAATGCAGAGTGATTTTTAAAGCTTTTCCCTGGATTTATTGTATCTGTCAAAGCATCTAAAAATTACAGGCATAAGAGCAACTCCTCCTACAGTAGGGTCATCAGTCCTGTTCACTTAGCATTTCTTTGTCTCATAAAGTAATAAATTTCGGGGGTGGGGGGGAATCTTGATCAATAATGAAAGATGCAAGAGGCAATCCTCTCACTTGGAAGTTGATAGTAAAATTTAGGTAAACAGGAAGGGGCAGAAAAGTTTAAACAGATTCCAAACAACTTAAAAACTATTCTAAGTTGGCATGTCCTTACATTTTAAAAAATCAGAAACAGGAAACTGCAGAAGACAGAACTATGGGTTTCAGGGGACTGACTATATTTAGCTCCCATATGAAAGGATTATGATTCAGCGCTGAATCACCAGTACCTGTAACAGTGCCCGGGCATACAATCGACTACCAATAAATGCTCACTAAGTTGCAAGAGTCAATATTTCTTGGATTTTTAAAAAGTAGCTCATGTCTTGGGGAATGGGGAGGTGGGGATGGAGACACGAGAAAGATGAGATTCCAGCTGTTAACACCAGTTTAAAAATAAGGCCAGTGAAATGCAATACGATATTCTGGTTTGGATCCTGGAACAGGAAAAAAAAAAAAAAAAATTTATATAGTGGGAAAAAACTAGTAAAATGTGAATAAAGCTTGTCCTTTAGTTAACAGTATATGCCAATGTTAATTTATTAGTGTTGACAAATACACCATGGTGATGGAAATAACATTAGGGGAAACTATCTCTCCCACCTCTGTAAATCTAAAATTATTCCAAAATTTAAAAGTTAAAAAAAAGGGGGGGGGGGGAGGAGAGCCCAGGGCTCGGGCGATACAAGGTAAAGCGGAGGCTGGAAGGGGTTCCCCGCAGAGGCGATCCCAGCACACGGGCCTCGGCCTCCGTTCGAGCCCGGCCGCGCCTTCCAGGCCTAAGGCCGGGCCGCACCCCCTGCCTGGGCCACAGGGCTCCCCGCTTCTGAGCGTCAAACCGCCGGGCGCCTCTTCGGCCCCCACTGGGCCCTTTGAGAGGCTACTACACTTACACCCTCGACTAACGCACTGACGCGCCTCCCGACTCCCCCTGGGCGAAGCGCCCCCTGTCCTAGTCTCAGCCAGAAAACACCAGGCAGCGCGGGGCCGCCCTCCCCGCAGAGCCAGGAAGACGAAAGTAACCCAGCGGGGCGGGGACGGTCGCACCCCAACGGCCGCCGCCACC